TATAAGTCGAAAGGAGACTGCGACCATACCCGAGGCCACAACATCTTGGTCTTCACATCTTCAATATATTATTAATATTAACAAACTGAAATCAATAATCTCTATTTAGATGGAACATATAGCGGAATCTGAGCAACCTCGACAAATACTTAATTTGGAAGGCATGAAGAACAAGACGGTGTGGCTATTTGTATGGTCGAAGTCTCCTTTCGATATATAGATCTTGTTTAACCTTGTTTCCCAAACTCGTTTATATTGGAAACCATATAGTCCGGAGTCCATAGTATGAATGATAATTTCCAGAGTCGGTACCTGCTCAGACGTGTTGCCGGCATCGTCAGCGAATCTTACCATTCTTAGTACCACACTACAACTCATCAGAGACAAGTGAAGCCGATATTTTAACAATGCTAAACAATCGTGCTATCTCTTTCTCCTCTGGGCTTATCACCAATCATATAACCTCGTGTCACGCCTTCATTATCTCAATTTTAACTTGCTTATTTGAATGTTCCTTTTTGAGTGGATTTCATGAGAACTCTTCATGCCCCACGAAGAACTTCTAACCCCCTCTTCACCCTTGTGCTGGGAACGTTGATCAATCTACCATATTTTTGTTCAGTACTCCTCCCATAGGTATTTTCAGAGTCTCCCTCTTGCCCCGTAGGATCCGTCTGCTATCCCCATGGTTCAAGTATTTCACTCCAGACGTTATTTCTCACACTGCATTTGGGAGACAAATTTGTTTTAATTAGATTCAATATAGAACAATAACATTTGAATGTCGTCATAGAAGGGACTAAGGCATAGGAAGTCATAGACTCGGCACTATGGATAGAAGCACGATGGAAGGGGCAGCGACTGTGGCTAGTTGGCCAAGAGTAGAGGTGTTTGATCATAGACGTGGTCCATGAAGGAAAGCCTTGATTATGCGTATTACTAGGGGTCTTTAAACTGAAGTCTCCCTGAGGCAGTGTGAGAAATAACGCCTCGAGTAACACAGGGTGTCAAGGGTCGAGTGAAATACTTAAGCCATGAAGATAGCAGAAGGATCCTACGGGGCAAAAGTGATTCTGAAAATACCTATGGAACTGAGGAAAAATATGGCGGACTCTGATCAACATTCCCAGCACAAGGTTGAAGAGGGGGTTAGAAATCCAGGGTGAGATGTGGAGAGTTCTCATGAAATCCGCTCAAAAGGGCACACCACAATACATTTAAATAAGCAAGTAAAAATTGAGATGGTGAAGGCATAACACGAGGATATAGGATTGGTGATTAGCCCAGGGGGAAGGAGATACCACGATTTTTTAGCAGACAATTGTTCAAAGAAACGACTTCACTATTCTCTGGCGAATTATAGTGTAGTGCTAAGAATGTTAAAACTCACTGACGAAACGTCTGGGAATGTATCACGTCCACGGTCCGAATGGAAATTATCATGCATATCATGGACTCTGGACTAAATGCGTTCCTCCCGGTCTTTCTATAAATATAGCTAAGTTGCGAAAGAAAAGCCAAACAACCTCAATACCTAATTTCATTCATGCGAAATGAATCCGAGAATTAAGTGACAAAGTAGTCACTTCCGGCTATACCTGGCAGGATCACTCCTATATGTAGTTCAACTGAGATTTCGTCATATCCAAGTGACGATACAGCAAAGGCGAATACAAGAAATTCACACATGATCCTAAGATTGTAGCGCCAGTGTATTTTACTGCATTTGAATGTATCATAAACAATAGTATGTCTTTAAAAGCGATGATCTTGCAGACAGCTTAACAAAAAGAATGAAGCATCTAGAGGAAAAAATTGTCTTGGAATCCAAAATCAAACTACGGAAATACCTGGGGGCTCGAAATAACTGATTATCGATCCCGTACGATAATCCAATGTGATAGTGTCTAATCTAGACACCCCATGGGGAAAGTGAGCCATGGAGACCGAAATCCGATGTTAACATGAGGTAAACGTCAACCGACCCACACTAAAGCAAATCAATCAGATGAAGAGGTAAAGAATATGGCTTTAGATTTGGTCGCAATCTTTCATAGCTTCATAAAATTGCTGACTTCGTTTTGCTAGCTTTTCCGGGGTAGCGAGTAAGCTTGAAGAGTATATTCGACACTGCATCCTTTCCCACAGCCATCATAATTCCTAGCACAAGGTCGTTGACCCGGCACATTGATTGGCGGATCGCAAGCATTTTAGTAATAAGTGGAAGCAATCCTCCCGATCAATTTTCCGCTCGACTGTTGCATACTACCTGCCCGACCGTAGAACTTAGCAAAGGGCACCAATTTGATTGTCAACAAATCTATTACCACACCCAGATCACGTCAAATACGCCCTATTCGGCTGGCTGAGTAGACTGTATTAAATCCGTCTTAAATATACTCGAGGACCTATACGCACGACCGGCTCCGCAAGTAAGACAAAATACGCATCATAGCTAGGGTGAAAATTGGTCTTAAAAATCCTGCTTTCATTTGTCAAGTACCCTACGCTTCGAAAACCCGACCAGTCTCTCCCACCACCACTCCAATCCTACATATTCCCCGCGGGCGACATACAAGATGGGCGATGAAAGCGACTACTTCACTAAAGCCATGCGAATTAACATCCCTGGGAGAATATCAGAACAGAAGTGCGAAATGACCATATGGAGTTGGCGCATAAACATGAAACAAGAGCTAGGGATTAGGAACCCCATAACGGCCAAAGGTAGGGTTGGTGAGTTGCCTGCATTGGCCAACAGTGGAATAAGGATATCGCATGAAGATGCCGGTCAGACGTCGGGCAGTGTACCAATCCGACGACCCGACAGTAGGAATTATCGTGATTATCGTAATGGATTCAGAACTAGGCAACTCACTGAAGCCCAACTTTGGAAAACCGAATGCAAAGCAATTACAAAATACAACCGGTAGTTATATTTTCAAAAAATACTAGAAAACGCGATGGTGAGCAGACCGTCCCAGCCAGTAAACGATTGGCATGAACACTATCGACGCTAACGGGGAACTCGGATGCATTAATTAAGAAGAGTTATGGCGAAATGACGCAAAACTTCAATGTTGAACCTACAGAAACAAAATTAGCGCCAGAAGTATGTGACACCCGAGATATTATAGCCGAAGTTATAAACCTGGAATTGAATCACTTTTGTAGGGTTCTGATGTAAAGATATAAACAAGTTGTAAACACTTTCAAGTAATAAGCCCCGGGGAGATAATTTTATAACATATGGACCAGTCGAGCCAAATATTTTTGCAATTCTGAAAAAAAACTATGCGTCTGAACTCGCGAAAGAAATAGTATTAATATCAGCTGGGTATGAAAGGATAATTCTTTTTTAACTGAGCAAGCGAACAATTCTAAGAACGATTTGGATGTCCCTCACCTTGCGCAGAAGACAAACGAAGCTATTGATGCTACCCCACGAATGGCCGTTAAATTATTCGCTA